TAATATGTGTCTCTTAGGGCTACGTATTCCTAAGTGGAGATCAAAATACCCGGACTATATATATATATATATACACACACACATATATATATATATAACCTACACTCGGTGTGAATGAGAACAAAGCATGTTAGACTAGCCACACAGAGAAAGCAGCAGTGATAGGTTAAATGGCATCTTGTGAATAAGAAGTTAATTTTCTCTCCTCTAGAGCATTTTAGCTTATAAAAATAAAAAAACCTCACTGCCATCGAGTTGATTTGACTCAGCGACCCCTCGCTGAGTTTCCTTGGGTTTTTGAGGTGGAGGAGTGGCTGTTGGGTTAGAACCACCAGCCTTCTGGTTAGCAGTCAAATGCCTTAGGCACTACACCACCAGAGCTCCCTTATTTAGTTTATATGGCCCACTAAAGGCTAGATGGAAGGAAGGTTGGGGCAATCTACTTCCGTATTGATACTGCTTTGGAAACCCAAGGAGGGATTGCTATGAGTTGGGGCCGACTCTATGGCACATAACAACAACAACAACAACAGAGGCTAGATATTTCAGCCAAAATGAATGTGCAGATAATAAGAGAACCTGCACATACTCCTGAATTCTATTGGTCTAAAGAGTATAGTGTATACTCATTGTTCTGGTTACCTAGAGCCACTCTGACAGGAATATACCACAAATGTGAAGGCCTTAGCAAACAAGTTTATTCTTACAATTTGGAGGCTTTAAGTCCAAGTTCAAAGTGCCAGGCTCCAGGGACTGGGCGAAAGCCCTTCGACCTTTGGCTTCAGCTCTGCCTCCTGCTCCTGGCCCACTGGAGCTAGAGGCATTTCTTCACTGAGACAGCTGCTGGCTGCCGGGGCTGAGAAGCCCCAAGGTTGACAAGGAAAAAGGCACAGTCCTGATGTTGCCAAACCACATAGCATGCCATTAACTTAAGTCCATTGTAAGTCCCAAGGTTGGCAGAGCATAGCAGGCTGCTGAGCAATGACATGGCTACATGCAGGGTCTAAGCATGCCATAGGCTAGAGAACATTCTCAAAGCTACTGCTTATACACAGAAAGTAGACCATATACCCAAAGCAGCTACTCAGCTGCTTGTGGTAGATCCCCCCATGGAGTGCATTGCCAGTCTCATGATGGGGAATAACTACCACCAGCTGCCCAGCCACTCAACCAGGCCCAGCCAAGTTGACACACAAACATAACCACCACATTCATCAAATGGCAGCTTGACCAAGGTATGCCACATATATAATCAAGTATGGTATTTTGTAGCAATCTAAAGTGATGAAACCCTTGGGTGGCAAAAAGGTTAAGCACACAAATACTAGTTGAAAGATTGGCAGTTTCAATTCACCCAGAGACACCTCGCAAGACAAGCCTAGCAATCTGCTTCCAAAAGGTCAGAGCCTTGAAAACACTATGGGGCAGTTTAACTCTGTACACATGGGGTCACCCTGACTCAAAATCAACTCAATGGAAACTAGTAACAAAAACAAAGCTTAAGAAGCACTTTACACATTATCTCTTCAACACTATAAAACAATATGTCAAGTATATTATCATCTCTATTTTATATTGAGAGTATCAAAGCTCAGAGCAGTTAAACAAATTGCCCAAGGTCACATGACCAAGTGTTCCATACCAGAGCTAGTACTGGAATTTAGATCCTCTTCTCACTCACTTTAACTTTTTTTTTTTTAAAAAAAAGAATTTACATTTAATGTTACTTTGAGCCATATTTTTATGTTACTTACATGTTTTCTTTAAGTGTTCTTCCATTTTTCCCAGTGCCCCTTCTCTTCCTTGTGATTTATGAAACCTTTTACAATGGTTTTGATTTTGTCTTTATCTTGATTCATAAATTTGATGTTATTTCTCTAATTTTGTAATTTAACATATCTGAGAGACCAAGTGTGTAAAGAAAAGCTAACATTTCTAAATGTCATTGTTTGACCTCAGTTGAAAGGAAGGAACTATTTTATCCGAAAATTATTAATACACTCAGCACTGTAATTTTACATATTATTTTCTTTTTTTAACTTTTTGTTATGATTTGAATGAAGGGTTACAGAGCAAAACAGTTTTCCACTCAGCAATTCATATATATTTTATTTCATGCCACTGGTTGCAAGCTTCATTATGTAACATCATCCCACTTCCTCCCTGTGTTTCCTGTTTCCATTCCTCCTTCTTCCCTCTCTCCTACCTCCTGAGCTTTGTCTTTAGGTAAATGCTTCCCTTTTGATCTTGAATGGTTAATTGTTCTAAGGAGTTTATACCTGTCAGTGTTCACTTTATACACCTGTTGTTTAGCTGAAAGTTGAATCAGGAGGGTGAGTTCAGTTCCAGTTTAAAGGGTGACTGAGGACCATAGTCTTGGGAGTTCCACTAGTCTCTATCTGACCAGTGAGCCTGATCTTTTATATGACTTTAAGTTTTGTTCCACATTTTTCTCTCACTGTGTCTGGACTTTCTAATGTGATCCCTTTCAGAGTAGTCAGTAGTAGTAGCTGCGCACCATATAGTGCTTCTGGTCTAAGTATTGTGGAAGCTAAGTTTTGCACGTCCACCAGTCCTTTGGACTAGTTGTTTCCACGTGTCTTTGATTTCTTCATTCTTTGAATTGGATGGAGATAGGCCAATAGTTGTGTACCTTAGATGGCTGCTCACAAGCTTTTTAAGATCCTAGTTGCTGCTCACCGAAGTATAGTGTAACTACTATGGATTATGTTGTGCCAGATGACCTGTGCCATAGTGCTGCCAGACTATGGTCCTGAGCCCCCTAAGCCCCCAGGCCCAGTGACTCATTCTCTCAAGGTGTTTGTTCATGGCTTAGTTTTCACAACTTTGCCCCATGCATGCTCGACTACATTCATGGATATATTTGCAGCATATGCAAATTCATACGTAGAAATATCCTCTGTCAAACAATGCATCTGTAGGTGTCATCCCATTTGCCTTCCCACATTTATCCAGTTTGTATGCTTATCTATGTATTTGCTCATAGACTACTATTATTACTGTCATTGCAGGATTATGTATGTAATAGTATTTACTTCTGTTACTTTTAACTCTGTGCTCCTCTCAGAGTCCTCCTTTGCCTTGGGCATTTTGTGCTAACTTTCCACTTACTGTATACTGCCTTTATCTTCACCCAACTTAATATGTGTTTACCTGTATTTAGTGATTTATTCTCCCTTCCCCTCATATCCTTGGTAACAAAGAATGTTTCTTTTGGTGTGAAATCTTCTCTTGACTTTTTATAATAGTGGTCTCACTATTCGTCCTTTTGTGATTGACTAATTTCACTCAGCATAATGTCCTTCAGGATCATCCATGTTTTGAGTTTCACAGACTTGTCATTATTCTTTAATGTTGTGTAATATTCCATTGTGTGTATATACCACAGTTTGTTTATCCATTCATCCATTGATGGGCATTTAGGTTGTTTCCTTTTTGAATAGTGCTGCGATGAACATGGGTGGGCATGTATCTATTTGTGTCATGGTTCTTATTTCTGTAGGATATATACTTAATAATGGGATTGCTGGATCATATGGTATTATTATTTCAAACTTTTTAAGGAAGTGTCATACTGTTTCCACAGTGGTTGCACCATTTTACATATTCTTTTCTGCATGTAGTTCAATTTTCACTTCAGAATACCTAAGTATATACTTACACTTTCAAGTGTTATTTTGATGAACAGTAGAAAAGTTGGAATTGTAAAAGAAAAGTCATTGAAAATTCTTTTTTTATCATCTGAAGACAGTAAAAGGAAAATATTAGACAAAGAAATTTCCTTATTTGTCTAGATGAAGGGTTGGCAAATTACAGCCTGTGGGCCAAATTCTGCCTGCTACCTACCTCTTTTTGTGAACAGTTTTATTGGAATAGTCACATCCATTGTATTATTGTCTATGACTGCTTGCACACTACAACTGCTCAGTTAAGTAATTATGACAGAGACCAGGCATCACCTGCCAAACCTAAAATAGTTCATATTTGACTTTTTTATAGAGTACATTTGACAGTCCCTGGTCTAGATACATACACACTTCATTTTACTGTGCTTTTTGCTTTATTGAGCTTTACAGATAGTGCATTTTTTACAAATTGAAGGTTTGTGGAAACCCTGTGTCAAGCATTTTTCCAACAGTATGTGCTCACTTTGTGTCTCTGTGTCACATTTTGGTAATTCTCATAAAATTTCAAACTTTTTCATAATGCTGTTGCACCCTTAAGAGACCACTCATCCAAAACTCACTGCCATTGAGTAGATTCCAACACATAGTGACCCCCATTGGTTTCCAAAGCTGTTAATCTTTTTGGAAGTGGACTGTCTCATCTTTTTTCTGCAGAGTGGCTGATGGGTCCGAACCATTGACCTTTTTGGTTAGTAGCCAAATGCCTTACCACTACACCACCAGAGCTCCTTTAACAGACCACAGTGTAGCATAAACATAACTTTTATACACACTGGGAAGCCAAAAAAAAAAAATCAGTGTGACTTGTTTTATTGTGATGTTTGGAACTGAACCCACAATATGTCCCAGGTATGCCTGCAAATGAAAGACAAAATCATGACCTACTGAGTTCTAGGCATCTCATCTTTGTTGCCTCATTTAAACTCTTAATAATTCTGTGAGGTCTATGGCAGGTGAATTTCTTCTAGCATCCTAACACATATACTTACTAATTTGGTAATACTATCATAGGGAGCTCTATGGTGCAGTAGTTAAAACATTCGGCTGCTAACCAAAAGCGTTCAGCAGTTTGAATCCACCAGCCATTCCATGGGAGAAAGATAAGGCAGTCTGTTTCCATAGAGATTTACAGCCTTGGGAACCCTATGGGAACAGTTCTATTCTGTCTTAGAGAGTGTCTATGAGTCGGAATCAACTTGCTGACAGTAGGTTTGGTTTGATTAATAATATCATACACTGTTCTGAGGAAAAGAAAGAGTCAGAGAGAATCAAGTAAAATTTTTCCTCAAGCTAGGCTAGGATCTTGTGAGAGATACTTTAGCTCATCAAATAGCTGCTGTGACTGTCAGAGGAAGAGTCTTCACCCTAATATTTTCAAGATTTAATCATTTAACACTTTTTAAAGGTTAGATCTCACTTTTGCAAATACATTCCGTTTAAGAGTAGGATACATTTTCCAATTTCTGATGAGACTGATCCAGAAAGTTCCTGAGCCCTACCAAAAGGGAAGAACATGCTCAACATTTCACAAGCTGAAAGAATGAAAGAAAAAAAAAAATTTCAAGCCTTGAATTGTAATATTGAAAGATCCTATGGGTAAGATAGTGAACAATGCAAGAAGCATCAGAAGAAGATGGAAGTAATACCAGTCACTGTACCAAAAAGAATTGTTAGACATTCAATGATTTCAGTGGTACCATATGATTAAGAACCAATAGTACTGAAGAAAGCAATCCAAGTTGTATTGAAGGAACTGGCAAAAAACAAGGCTCCAGGAATTGACAGAATAACCACTGACAAATTTCAACAAATGGATGCAGCACTGGAGGCAGTTACTTGTTTGCACCAAGAAATTTGGAGGATAGCTATCTGGCCAACTGATTGGAAGAGGTGCATATCTGTGCCCGTTCTAAAGAAAGGTGATCCCACAGACTGTGGAAATTA